CCTCCAACTTTTATGCCTCCTTCCTTCAAGTCTAATCATACTTTACGTATGATGCATTAAGCAAAAAAGTTAACCAGTTATGATGATAACACGAAGCCTTGATTTACCCCATGAAAATTGGAATCAGTTCTGCTTCTCTAGATGTTGCCCTAATAATAGTCTCTTATTCAGGATAATCAAATATTGTGGTGCATCCATTTCTTTAAAAACAATTCATAGTTTTTCATTGTCTGTTAAATCAAAGGCTTTGCTGTAACCCATAAAAACATGTTTTGATTTTCCTCTGAAATCGTTTGATGCATCCAAAAAAACACTGTATATTTGTTATATGATCTCTACTGCCTCATCCTTTCCTTTAACTGATTTTGCTACATCTCTCCTCACTATTAATTCCATTTTTTCTCCTTAGATTTTTATTTCCTGAATAAAATAAAGAATAAAACATTGAGAAAGTATAATCAGACTCATTCCTTTTCACTTGTTTAGCCTGCTTGTTCCAAGTAATTTTAACACCCTCATCATCTTAATAACTTTCTGGCAAGTTCATAAAAGTGGAACAAGTAGGCAGCTGATGAATGTGAAAACTAGGGGAAAAGAAGAGAAAATAGGCTGGATATGAACTATCCATCTCCTAGCAGAATTCCTCCTAATGATGAGATGAAATGTCACCATATGGGTTCTGCTTTAGGTAGCAAAAATACATTGGACTGCTGCTGGGGAGAACAGGAGAGCTAAATATCCCTTTGGCTTTTCAATTGCATCATTGGCCACAGAGTGATCATGCTTGTCCTCTGCTCTTCTCTAGCAGTTCACCAAATACCTTTAACCTAGGTGTATCACTTTTTGGCACTCTCTCTTGTTTCTTTTTTGCTTGTATCATAAAGTTTTCATGATAAGGATATTTTAAAATGACAGCCATCTTTAAATATCTGGAGGAAATATCATGCAGAAGACAAAGATAGATTGCTTTCTGTTGCTCCACAGACTAGAACACAAACCAATGGATTCAACTTTCAAGAAAACAAATTCCAACTATGTAGAACTATTATGTAGAACTTTTTGACTGTAAGAGCTGTTTGAAGTATAATAAACTGCTTCAGATATTGGTGAAATTGGATGCACTTTAAGGGGTACTGTAGTTATGTATTCCTGCATGGCAGAGGATTGGATTAAATGGCCCTTGCAGTCCCTTCCAATTCCATGATTCTATGACGTCAAATTCAAACCACAACCACAACCCTAACTGTACTGGAATTTTTATAGCAATGAGAACACAGTCCTCAACTCATTCAATGCATTTTTGTTTTGGTTTCAATGTCTTGATGTATGTGGGCATAGTTTGTGGTAGAATATAAACACAGCCCTACGTGTACAAGTAGTGGATATGCCAGCAAACCACTGCAAACTGACCCATTTAGCTGATAGTTTTAAACAATTGCATCCCTGTCAGTTCTGTCTCTAGTTTTACTAAAGGGATTTATTCAGATAGTAGATTAGATGGAAATTGTGGTTCCAAGACCAATACAACAACTAATTATGTCCCAGAATACCTGGAGAGGCAGCCAGAAAGGTACATATTTACTTTTGTTCATAACAATGATAGCCACAACAATACAATGTAGGCTCTCCAAGGCTGTAGAGGAGCCATAAGTCCAGTATTATGCCACCTTCCCCATCTCCAGACTAGGTGGTGAATCAAACACAGCTAAAACAGGACACAAAGTTTACCTATAAATATATGGGTTTTGGATATCAGGAGCTACTTTTAAAATACAGACTCAGTGACCTCCATCCAATTATTACTTCCAACTAAAGTTGACCAGTAAAATGAAAATAGCTCCACAATTCTTATGTAATTGAACATATGTAATTGATACAATAGGTTTATTCTCAACTCAGTTGTAGTTAACAACTGGATTTTTGACAAAAGTGAAGTGTTTCAGATGCTGCTAGATTGAAACGGTCAGTGTTCCTCATTACCATTTACACTAGCTAGGACTGATCAGTGTCACAGTTCAATAACATCTAGAAGGCTATGCTTTGCCCATTTTTGATTTATTGTAGGCCATTTTTTCGAGATTTATTTATCAGCTGCATAAAGCATAGGCCATAGTAAAAAATGAAATACATATATATGTATACAAAATGAATTATTTGACGATTATGATATCGCATCAGAGGGAAGAAATGGCAACTGGTCATAATTATAATTTAGAAGTTGTTAGTTTGGTGTTCCTTTTGACAATTCGCTTTTTAATGGCAATATACTCTTATGACAATATTAGTGTTTTCTTGGGAAATATTCTTAAATTTAATTATATCCCAAGGAAAGGGATATTTGATGGGGAAATAGAGAGTGAGATTGCTGAAAGGCAGCTTACTTCCAGATCTGACTCTTTTTAATCAGGCTTCATTGTTTGTGTCACTCTACAAAAATACCTTACATGTGATGTACAAACTGAGTCTTAGCCTGCAGCATGAAGGCATCTGGACTCACCGCTAATCCTCATGCCTAAATCTTGTTTACTTTCATTGATTGACTCGGTTATGATTTCAGTAAGTCTTCAATTTTAAAACTCTAATCTTGTAAAATAGTTCTTATATTCTCCACTCAAACCTAAAACACACTGGACTTATATATTTAGTATCACCCCTTATCATGGAAGGGAAATTAGTCAATTTTCCAAATGAGGTCCAATGAGGAATCTCTCTCTGCTGTTACTGTATGTAGCTTGATCATTACTCCCCTGCTTTCCCTCCTCTGCTCTTTGTACAAGAGTTTGTAGTTTGTATCTGCTGGTAGACAAGTTATTAAAGACCAAACTTAATCAATATAACAAAGAACACCCCCCCCCCTTGCCAGTCTTCCCCTCTTCCTTTGTATTGAATACCTCACCCCTCTTAGGCAGCAAGCGTTTATTCCTTTAGAGCAGTGGTTCCCGACCTTTGGTCCTCTGTGTGTTTTGGACTTCAGTTTTCAGCTCCCAAAATTCCTGACACTTGGCCAAACTGGTTGGGGCTTCTGGGAGTTAAAGTCCAAAATACCCGGAGGACCAAAGGTTGAGAAGCACTGCCTTAGAGGAAGGTGGCAGGTGGCAGTCTGGTTGCCATAGACCAGTGGTTCTCAACCTGTGGTTCTCCAGATGGTTTGGCCTTCAACTCCTAAAAATCCTCACAGCTGGTAAACTGGCTAGAATTTCTGGGAGTTGCAGGCCAAAACACATTGGTTGAGAACCTCTGCCATACATTGTCAGCATCTGATTGAGTACCTGAAGAGGCCCAGTCCTGGAGTGACACTTGAAACCGGCAGCTGTCCACTGCAGTAGGCGGGAAGAACAGTAAACAGCAGCAGGACCTCTGTTTTCTTTGGAGATGGTGTTCCTTCTTCTCTAGTGTGCTGTCTCCTCCATAAGGTTGTCCCAGACATCCAGTTTCTATCTGATTTTAATTGTTGTGTGTCTTTCCAATTTATTGCAATCTTAAGATATAGCTATCATAGGTTTTCTTGACAACCCTGAGGCTAAATTTAAACCTTAAAGAGCTGTCCAAGGTTCTGATCCCGCTGTGGAGACAGAATTTGGCATCTAGGGATTTTCCTTTACCATATGGAATAAAAATCAGATGGAGTCACTGCACTACATGGATGCTACCAATCATATCTGAAATAGAAAATATCTGCCCTTCTTGCAGCATCTAAAGATTTACATGTGTATATGAGAGAAAGCACAAGAGAAAGGAGGAAACTATCCAGTTTTATCCCAGGGATCCTTGTGTAATGAACTCCTCATGGAAAGATCCACAGAGTTCTTTATGATAAGACTTTGCTGGGATGAATTATAGTCTATGATAGTCATTGGGAAATAAAGGATGAGCCTTTTATTACCCCTTCTCTGCTCAGAGATTTTGGTACATCATCACCATCACATTAATATCCCTCTTTTCACCTAACACTAGGGCTCAAGGCAGCTTGAAAGATTAAAATAAAGACAAAAACACATATATACACACACAAGTAAAAACATACAAAATACTAGTAAGAAGCAAAACCATTTAAAACAAATTTGTTTGAAAAGCCAATAGATAGAAAACAGTTGAAGAACACATTATGGGAAGCTTTTGCAGTCAGTGTCCAAAAGCTTGCTGGAATGAAAAGTTTTTCACCTGCCAATGGAAGAACAATATAGAGGGAGCCATGTTGACAACTTCCCTAGTTAGTCCTTTCCTTTCTGATAGCAACAGTAGGAAAAGAGAGAACTATTTGAATTATTGTGAAATCAGTGGAGGCTTTTGGGGGTGGGCAGGAGTGCAGAATTGTTCTTCTTTTGACCTTCAAGTCATTTCCAAATTATAGCAACTAGGTAAAAATATGCTTTAGGCCAGATACCCTGATTCAGTCCATGAAGAAATCAGCCAATGAAGTAATAAACTAATAGGGGCTGTTAGATGATCTATTATGATTTATGTGCATGCTTTATCAGTATTGCTACTTAGAAATGGACTCATTGTTAGTCTTTCTGTGATGCATCTTTCTTAATATTGCAGACATTGTTGTGCAATGTCATGGTGCTACATTTCTACCTAACATCAAGGACTGTTAAGCTTTACCAGAGCTCAATTTGAATGCTTTCTGAAGTGAAATGTCAATGTTGTTTAAAAATTGTAAAGTATTATGGGATGATAAATTCATTTTTAACCAATTCTTTCCAATGGCTATAAATTCAATAATTGTTCCCTCTTTGAAATTATTTGTCTCTGGAGGTAAAAATTTTTTGAAGTTATATTTATTTACCGTATTTATATACCGCCTTTCTCAGCCCAAAGGCAGTTTATAGTCGGCACAATTGGATGCCCCCAACAATATAAAATACAATTAAAAACATCAGCATATAAAATATAAAACTGTAAAAACAGTTAAAACATAAATAAGGTATAAACATATTGGTGATATCTCTCAGCTCCTATGTTCCCTGATGTGGCTCTTTTTGTGCTTATTTCCTTAGGTGTGGTTTCAGAACCGACGGGCAAAATGGAGGAAACGGGAGCGGTTTGGTCAAATGCAACAGGTTCGCACCCACTTCTCCACAGCCTATGAGCTGCCCTTGCTAACTAGAGCAGAGAACTATGCCCAGGTGAGTGTCTGTCCCAATGCCTTTGTGCATCAACTTCCACCAGAGGCTATATTTTGCACCAAGTGTGACACAAGTAATGCAAAATTCAGTGAATGGATGTTCTATTGTGTACATTTTCCCCCTGAACCACATGCAATATAATCTTCAGTACTTTAGAAATTACAGAAGTATATGCATCCTAAGGTCCTAGCAGGAGCGCTTCATCTTGTCATTAGTGGAATGAATCTTGTTTCTTGTTTAGATCACAGCAATATATACTTTGCTTAATCTGTTGCTATACCCACTTTGATGAACCATCTGTTAAAGATCTTACTAAACAATTGACAAATGAAAATAAAGTTGGTAGGGAGTTCTTGACCCACCTGATATCATGGTGCCTGGTCCTTACAGGACAGCAGCTAGAAGGCCACATGTTTTCCATCACTGATTTGGCTGCTCAAATTGTGGTTTTGTGGGGAAAACTTTTCTTTCTTGAAGGGAACAAAGATGGTAGAGAGGTCTAAATAAAACCTGGAGATAAGATACCTTGATCATAAGTACTTAACTTCCTGACAGAACTTGGAAGTGCTGTGCTGGTAGTTCTGGCTGAGGGCTTTCTAGGAGCAGTAGTCCAAGGTCTGCTTCCCTCTGCAATGTGTTACCGCAAGACAATGTTAAAAGTGTGCCAAGGTACAGCTGTGAAAGCAAGTGGCTTACCACCATTAACCAGTGAGCTATGCAAATTTAACATGCACCCTATGGTATTCATTGGTGTTCTCAGAAATGGATAAGGGCTCCAAAAGTACAGGCTACCTTCAAGGAAAATGTTGAAAACTGCTAAAGCACTCATATTTCCTGCCATAGATGAAATGACTGAAAATTCCTGCAGATGTAGGGAGACCTTTACTATAAGTACACATAAGTTGTTCACAGCTAATAGAGAGAATGATATTGTGATATATTTTATGGCAGTACTCAGAGAGGTAGTCTGTGAACCAGTAAGTTTCCAGTAGCTATGCAAATACAATAATAGTTTGATACAAATATGTAATTAGTGCCTGGCATGGCCCATAGTGGGAGGTGAGGGTGGGCTGGGAACCTGCACTTCAAACAATATGAGAAATCCTGTGATACATGTTATAAATCATGTCCCACTTCTGATGCAGAGTTGCACAGGATTCCAAATATAGCAGTCATTCATGTTTATGCTGGCATTATGAGTTTTCTTGGTTTGGGGGTCTGACTGTGGTGCTGTCTTACTACCTGCCAGGCCTATGTAGCCTGCCAAGGGGAAAAGGTCAGCAACCGAGCCGGAGCAAATGGTGGTGGAAGCCTGTGGAATGCAGGCTGCTTGGAGATGTGCCTTTTCCCAGTCTCCATCTGGATCCTCTCCTGTTGCATTCTTTCATCTCACATTCCCCCATCAAACCTCCCCCTTCCCCACCTTTCAAAAAGCCTCCTGCTGCTGCTGTAAAAAAAACTCATCCATTCTTTTCTCTTTGATAGGATCACTCTGACTTTTAGCTTCTTAGATGAGATGTTTGGTGAGTAGGATTTGTGGTTGTGAAAAGAAAAAAAAACCCTTCCTCTTTCTCTGGGAAAATAGGGACAGGAGAGGGAGGCTTAGGGCTACAGTGTATCTAGAACACCCTAAACTCTGTTTTCATTTGATGAGAAATTGTAGAAGTTACCTTTTTGGACTACAGCTCCCAGAATACCCTCTTTTAGTAATAATTTGCCTCTTTTAGTAACCCATAGTTTTTATCAATACAATCAAAGGTTTTACTATCATCTATATAGTATATATATAGCATAGGCCCCCTAGTGGCACAGTGGGTTAAACCACTGAGATGCTGAACTTGCTGACCTAAAGGCTGATAGTTCGAATCCGGGAAGCAGGGTAAGCTCCCTCTGTTAGGCCCAACTTCTGCCAACCTAGCAGTTCAAAAATATGCAAATGTGAGTAGATCAATAAGTACTGCCTTGGTGAGAAGGTAATGGTGCTCCATGCAGTCATGCTGGCCACATGACCTTGGAGGTGTCTACAGACAATAATGGCTTAGAAATGGAGATGAGCACCACCCCCTAGAGTCAGACATGACTAGACTTAGGGGAAATCTTTATCTTTACTATATAGCATAAGCTTTATTAGTATCTGAGATATGTTTGCAATGTGATCTGTATAGCCTCTTCCTTTTCTGAGCCCAGCTTGGACATCTGGCTTGTCTTGTTCCATGTGTGATAGCAGTTTTTTTGTTGTAAAATCTTGAGTATCTTATTTCTTCCTTGGATGAGGAAGCTAAGTTCTTTTGGTTACTTCATTCCTTGGTGTCTCTTTTCTTTTTTGTTAGTAGAATATAAATGTATAAATACAGATATAGGTAAAGGTATAGGTGTAGGTATAGGTATAGATAAAGCATTTCCTGGGACTTGGTCCATTGTTTCCTTTTCTGTGGTTTTGGCAGACTTTCGTTGGACTTTGGATAGATTCTGTCTGTTTTCTTTTGGATGCATATCATAATGTAGTGTGAGAGTTTAAGAGTGTCAGTGAAGCTGAAAGAAATTCTGTCTAGTGTCAAGAACCTTTTAAGAGTCTACATGCCCCTTAGGGTCACCCAATGCAAACAGCTCAAAGCCAAAATAAGTTTCATCCATCCTCCTCAGGAAATAGTGGTTGCATTAGAAGAAGAGAAGTAATATTCCCGATAGCAAGTGGGGCAGAAAAAACTCTAGAAGGAAAGTTACTAGGCAGCAACAAGAGTGGGAGGGGATGTCAACAGAGATCTCTTAATGGATAATGGCAGTGGCATTTTAGTTTATTGGTACTGCACAGAAGGCAGCACCGGTAAACCTCTTCTGATTGCTTTATTCCTAGAAAACGTTATGAAGAGACAGCCTTCTAGTTCTTATATGACCAGCTGGAGTGGAAGTTGTTCAGGTAGCCTAATGGAATGACTACTGCTAAGTACTGTTAAGTATCAGTTGAGAGAAAACCAAAGACAGCTGGTCACTAAGCAGAGGCCATTGTTAAATGTCAGCTAAATTTGGCACCTCCCATTATCTTATGGCTCTTCTTCCAAAATTCACAGTCTTAGTGGACCAATAACTAGATACCAGTAAGTTAAAATGAATGAAAGCCAAGCATATCATCTACAGTACAACCCCCTTATTCATATGTGGATAAGGGGTCGTACTGTACTTCAGGCCTTTTGCTTTGGCAGGTCCTTGATTTCCTTTTCTTTAAAAATATAAGCCTCTCAGTGTTGTAACACATTACACTTAAAGTGCGGGTAAAGCCTCTTGCACACTCAAATAAAAAACAATTGTGAATATTATTAGTGCAAGATGCAAAATCAAGAACCAAATTTGGATCAAATGAACATTCTTGCTACTGAAGGTTTTTGCATTCACATGAAAGATGCAAGAAATGCAAATAACAAGACTCTCATAGATTTAAACACCTGGCTCACCCTCATAGCAGCTGCTGGTTTAAATTACAAGGATGGGAAGTAACTGGCTATGGAGCATGTGTGGTTTTCATAGAATAATTTCAAAAAACCAAACAAAAGCCCTAGAAAAAAGACACAAATTGCCAATGGTAGACATTAATTCTTAGCCAGTTATTAGTCCCAAGTGGAGTGGACTTGGCAAGGAAACACATATATTTATCTCATTAATTCAATACATCTACACTACTTAAGGATTTAGCTGTTGGATTTCGACCAGCCCTTTACATGTACTGACCACTGGCTATGCTGCCTAGAGCTGCTGGGAGTCAACAGTTCAACCAAGTGTGGATGGATGTTCAATTTCTCAATAGACTATTGTGGCATTTTGATTCCACTTTAACTCTCAATGAAACATCCTGTGGAATCTTGGGATATTTGTCATTTGGGAAGGCACAAGAGTCTTTTGGTTAAGAATGATAAATGCCCTCCTTCAGCTGCAAACCCTAGGATTCCATAGGATGGAACCATGGTAATGAATGTGGAATCATAGAGTTGTAGTTCTGTAGTGCGAAACACATGTACAAATAATATTCAGTTACTAGGATGAGTTGACTTGCCATCTGTTGGTTTAGTATGTCCACTTTGCACATGGGATAAGCCAAGGTGACCTAACTATTATTTTCCCATTCTTCCATCTCCCCACCCCAATCTCAGATCCAGAATCCATCCTGGATTGGCAACAATGGTGCTGCCTCCCCTGTGCCTGCCTGTGTTGTGCCCTGTGACTCAGTGCCTTCCTGCATGTCTCCTCATGCTCATCCCCACACAACTGGAGGAGTCTCTGAATTCCTGAGTGTCTCAGGTCCCGGCACCCATGTGGGGCAGACTCACATGGGCAGCCTCTTTGGCAGCGCAGGCATCAGCCCTGGCATCAATGGGTATGAGCTGAATGGTGAACCCGACCGCAAGTCCTCCAGCATTGCAGCCCTGCGGATGAAAGCCAAGGAGCACAGCGCTGCCATCTCATGGGCAACATGACAGGGCTGCAGTCGATGCCCTCAAGACACTTGACAGAGCAAACAGAGGACGGTCAAACCATCGATCCACTCTTGGACTTGAGGCAGCCAGTGCTCCTCCCCAGAGGTCTGAATGCAGCACTTTTAGCTACCATGGGTGTAATTGCATTGAGTATATTGCCATATTGGAGTGTTTTAATTGTTTTGTTCCTTACACAAGAATAGACACATGGAAGGAAACAGAGGGTGTTTCAACCACACCAGACAAATGTGCTTTTTTTGTTTTATTCACATGGCTTGTTTCCCTTTTGGTGACGTCCTCTTAATTGCCCATGGAAAAGACATTCATCCCTCCTACTTTCTCGGACACCAGCTGTGCTTCCAGATAAGGCTTCTATCATGCAATTGGCCCTTTTAAAATAACAGAATTAACAGGCACTGTCCAGAAGATGTTTTCTTCCATTTCTAATGCTCTCTGGTTTTTTCCCATTGCTGTCCCCCTCTTTTTTGCTTGATCATTTCATTCACTGATTGATAATTCCTGAGGAGATCAAGTAAACAGGAGTCTTGGTGTCCATTTTGATGGACTATTTAGGGGAGAGGAGCACAACCTCCTTACCTAATCCTAGTGGGGCCTTAACCCCACACTCAACTAATTCCTGGATCTGCAAGATCCCAAAAAGTCCTTTGATTGTGTAGCACTACAAAGTGATTATCTGGACATGCTCCAAATCTTTATCTCTAAAATTTATGACCCCCAGATCACAATTTCTGGTTGATTGGCTCTGACATGAATTATAGCCAATCCCATGTATTCAAATGAGACACATAGGTTTATGATGGTCAGCAATAGAAGAATATGGTTGCTATCACTGTAGTTGGTTAGTACCAGAGTGAGTCAGTGTGTGTGTGTGTTGAGTGCAAGGTATGTTGATTCAGCACACAGGATACCAGGCAATGCCACAGTAGAGTTTGCTGCATACTAGAGATTATCTCACACTTTAATGTCCAATTGAACTGAGTAAAAGATGGAGCAGCTGCCCCACCTTTTATTTCTCCCCTTTCCTGAAATCTGTCTTCCCCCAACTTGCTGTAATAAGAACTCCAAGGGTGCCACACAACAAGCAAGGCTTGAGTTAAACAGAAAGGAAAAGCCAAGGCTGTGTTACCTCCTCCGTCAACAGAGATTGTAAAGGTCCATGTTGCAGATGGACAGCAGTGGTTTTCTCATCCCATTGGCAAACTAAGGACTAGCACAATGGCAAAATCAAAAATAGCACATTTTGTGGAATCTCCTTGGTACCAATTCCTTGCAATAGCTCTCCTTGCTATCACAACACTAATTCTGGCCAAATCCTATATATACAGTGTATTGGTACAGAATAAATGTACTGCAATGTAGTTAATGCTTGATCCCATAGTTTGTGAAAAGGTATATTGATCTTTTTCATTATGCAATACGCATTTAGCACCCAACCAAATCCAAAATGAAAGAAGAACATGTGCACTTGTGAAATAACTGGCTGCACTATAACTATCCCATGTGTTCCAGTGAGACACATAGGTTTATGATGCAGTTTGGCAATCTCTGAGAAGGTTCAAACACTTGTGGAACTATTTTTATGCTAGCATAGTTCCCCAGCAAAAGTACAGCCATTGATTTAGTCTTGTGGTCAGCTGTAAGAGATATTATCATGAATTACATGCAGCCTAACTGAAGCTTGAATGAAGAAGAATGCTAAGAGAATGACATGGGCAATGGAAGTGAAAAGAATCCTCCAATTTTCTAGATTTAATCATACATGGGAAGGGGGCTGCTAGTAGGGGGTTGCTACTTCACACATGCAACGATGCCTGCCTTCCAGTTCACAATTAGCAAAAGATAGTTATATTCTCACAGTGTGGAAGGAGATGGATACAGCAAGAAAGTCAAATAGCAAACACACAGCAAGGTTTCTGCTTTCCAATGAACCCAGAGGAAGAAAACTCAGCAGAGAATATGAAAGGAAACACAAAGAGAAGGAAAAATAGGAAGCGATCTGTTTCTGACACAGAGGCAGAAGTAAAAGGAGTGGTAGGGGGAGATATATTCCCCCTCCCTCAGTTTTCAATTTTTAGGAGCACCTGTAGTTCTGATCAATTCTCAGTTAATGTTGTGCTAATAGGAGTGCCTGTGGTATATTGCACAGAAAGACTGCGAATCCTTTCCTACAAGGATAAAAACATGGTTTCTGTTGCTTGCTCGAAGATTTTCGACAGTGCCCATGCACTGTCAAATGCAAGCCTGTGAAAATTGTACAGCCCCATTTTACAACTGTTCTTGTCATGATGTGCTAGCTGCAGAACATAATAACTTCCCCACCACTCTTATAAAAGTTTAAGCACCTTTAAGCATAATTGATTTCTATGGAAGTCCTCAGCTCAGCATCAGCTCAGCATCAAACTGTTTTGTTTGGCTCAAGTTCTAATATGTGAGGTCAAAATCAGGGAAAATACAAAACCTTTCAGTTAAAAGTGCTACCTTCAAAGAAGACATTTGAGTTTCCTCACAAGGAAAGTATAACCACCCTGCATTTATTGTTCTCTCTACATTCATTGTTGGGGGGGAGGAGTGGAGTGTTGTTTGCTCACCCGCCTTTAAGTTACAAAATCAATTTTAATTCTCAGGCAGTAGAATCCTAACACATTGCTGAGCTGTAAAATAAAAATTGAAGGTTATCTTGGAGCATGATAGCTAGATTTTTCATGCAGGAAATTGTGTGTGTGTGTATGTGTGTGTCAGTGCATAAGTAATATTACCCATGCCTAACTATGTTTTTGTGTTCCTAAGCATGCATATCTAGAAGAATACATTTTGTGTGTACTGACATAAAAGTATGTTTACCATATAAACAGCTAAGTTTGCCATCTCTTGGGCTCAGGAAGGGATTTCTGGTGCCAGCCAGGTATGAGCACTGTCCATACATTCTCTCCAATGTGCTTTCCATATTCACATAGGGCACCAAACAGTAGGTTTTTCATGCTTCTGTTAGCTCTCCATGCTAAACTAGTAACCCCTTAAACTATTTTGTGTGCCTGCACCATGCATTTTTAGAAGTGCATTGCTGTATATTCTAATTGTGTTTTAGAATAGCCAAACAGCTGTGCAAATTGTCTGCACGGTGCATGCGGTAGTGTACAGTGGATATATATCCCGAGGGGGTGTTTGAGAAGCACTGGGCAAAATTGTGTTCTAAGTGGACTCTGCAGAAGACTAGACTCTGCCAATGTCTGTTTGTCATTTGCTAAAGTAAGCTAACGAAACCTTGTATTTCAGTGGGTCACTGTCTATTTACGAAGTAAACAACAATGTATTTCAGAATAGGTTTCAGGATGGTTGTGATAGCATTCTGGCCAATGTACAAAGTCCATTAATAAAATCAAGGCAATTTTTATAAAGTCCTTTAAAAGGCAATATTATCCCAAAAATAGAACATTGTGTCCTGAAGAAAAACTTTTGTCAAAACCAACAGCTTTCTGTTAAGCATTCACCCATATTTTCACTAACAGGTATAAATAATGCTCCCCTTCTCCTTTCACATTATTGGCAAGGATGTTGTTAAAAATGCCACAGGAAGAGGATGGAACATTCAAAACATTGGTGCCATCTTGCTAGTAACAGAACGAAGCCCAAGGCTTATCTGAATGTGGCAGAACCCTTGTACACACAGAGAGAGGAAGGATAAGGGTGGCCAGCTAGGCTTAAAGGAATTTCCCTGATGTAACCATAGGGGAAAAGAGCAGCTACTTAGGTTGGGCAGAGTTGGCAGCCAATGAGCAAATGGCAAACTGTTGTATATGGCGGTACTGGCTAACTCTTTACACAATGCCAGAAAAAAGTTGCTTTGCTATTATAAAGGTACAGAAGGAGACTGGACACAGTATTTAATTCTATCCCACCCTCAAATACATACATACATTCTAAAGAAAAGCTCTCCAGTGAAGCAGCACAGCTTATGAGCTTGTGCTGTCTTAACATTTCCTAATATTTATGTTGTTCCATAATAACAGTGCAGTAGACTCTCAGTTAATCAGAACTCAAGCAACGTAAACTCAAGGTAAAAAGAACTCAAGGTTAAAAAAGTCCCTAAAATTGCATACTGCACTCACAAAGGAATTTTTATAATACAGTAAAACTGTGTTATATTGTTAAGTTTGCCTTTATTTGTTTCCAATTACTATATTTCAATATTCATATTGTCAATACAGAGTTTATGGCATGGTATGGTATGAGGTATAGTATTATTAAGGCCTGGTTCAAGCAACCAGAAACTACATTTATCTGCTATCTAGTGGATGATGGTTAACCGAGAGACTACAGTATTAGGGCTGTAATGATTTGGACTTTGTCTTATGATCAGCATAGCCTTCCCAGCTTTTACATTTAATATCAATAGTGTATTTCCACTTCTTCCTTCCATAAAATGAATTTCTGACCAGAGTAATACAGAATACGTTCTCTATACTATCACTTTTTGGGCATGGCATCCCTCTATCCTTTTAGGGTGGCGCTGGGATGACTGATCCTTGTCTCAGAGTACACCAGGATTTCACAGTATGTTGTAAAACTCTTTGAAAACAAACAACCACGGAAAAAAGGTAGTTTCCTGGAAATGGTTTGAAAAAATAATCAAGCAGACCCAGTCGCTCAGGACTCTGTTTATTTTGCTGCTTTGATTGACACAGTAAAAAAAGCAAACATGTAGAATTAAAAAAAGGAGAAGTCCCAACAGGAACCAGGACAGAGTTAAGCTGAGCAGATGAAAGCTTTTGGATCACTTTCAACTTCATGGATGGTTTTGTGGGGAAGACTAAGTCTAGCCTTTTCCCCCACTACCCTGGTCTTTAACAGCAAGTTTGCGGTAATGTATTGCCCAGCCTTTCTTCCATAGACAATGCTAGGACTTTTATACTACTGATGTTGAAGGACAGTTTTCAATGTATAATAATATATCCGTTTTTGGGTGTGCAGTGTTTGAGAGCAAGTGTGGGAGAAAGATTGCAAAGAAAAGAAAAGCAAACCTCAGTCAATATTATTGTTGTAAAATATTGTAACCTTGTATAAATGCAACATTTTCCCTTTAGCTTTATGTCCTGGGGCAGAATATATTAAGATATAAATTCAAAAAATGTTCAAAAAATAAAACAATGGAGTGCGGGTGGGATGCATAAAAATTGCAATGTGAGGTTGTGCCATACAATTTTACTGCCTATACAGATATGTATTGCAAATTCATTACATTGTAATATTAAAAAAAAGAACAAACCGCTTTGTGTCTGGTTTTTCTTTTCTTTTTCTCTCTCTTCATTTTGTTGGTTATAGCACTTATCTTTTTTCCATAGGACCAAAATTACTCAATGCTACAAAAAAAATTAAATACAGGGAAAGTTGCTGGAAAAGAAGCTATGAGCGGATAAAGTTCCCAGAGAACAAGCAGAGGCGAGCCAAATAAATATTAATATTATTGTTCTTATTTGCAATAAACTGTCTCTTCTCTCACCTGAAATCTGTCTTATTTTGTTCCTGATTCATGACAGATGAAATGTGATCAGAGAGGGGCTCCAAAATCTCACGTTAATTGAAGTTGGCAAAAAATACTAACAGTGCCCTTTTGAACTGCTGACACAGAGCAGAATGGATTAAACAAGGCTAGATTAACAACAGGTGGCAGCTTGCAGACCCACTGCCTCTAGAGAGCTTCGGCAACCAAGAAACCGTGGGGGAAACATCCTACAGGCAAAGTGGAAACCAGCTGATGGGTTGCTGAGATAGGCTGCTAGCAGGCCTGACCACAGGAAAGATCCCTTCCCCAAATAGGAAGCCACAATATTAGAGGCAGCCCCATATTATTAAGCCGGATTTGGGGTCTCCATGTAGTTTTGAGGAGACACAAGTGCCTGAAGTAAGTAAGAGTACATCTACACTGTAGAAATAATGGGAGTTGTAGTTTTTGGAAGGTCTTTAGCTTTCTCTGCCAAAGAGTGTTGCTGACTCACCAAACTACAAGTCCCAGGATTCCATTGCTTTGAACCATGCTAGTTAAAGTCATGTCAAACTGCATTAATTCTACAGTGTAGACACAGCCTTGGTTTCTCTTTGCTGGGTAACTGTTTGAAAAATGGTATACATAACCAGTCCAGACATTTGCTTCCTTTTATTTATAGAGTCATCATAATTTCAGACCAGCTCTAGTTGTGTATCAATAGTTGTTCCTGAGAAGCATGCTAGAGAAGAGGATGAGGAGCAGTTTAAAAGATATAGAAACCCACCCATTAAAATCCAACATAGTTAAAATAAATATTTAATTACTCAAAAGACTCCCCTCCCCAAATCCAGGCTAGCTGGTCCATGTGCTCCAACTATTCCCATTTGGCAGAGGACAGTCCCAATTAATCTTTTGCCATCCCACGTTTTCAGGTGGCATTTAAACGTACCACTCTCTCACTTCCTCCCACTTTCTCCACTTTGCTCTCATCTTATTTCAGTTGTTGCAAACTGAGTTTAAAGAACAAAAGCAGTTGGTAGTCTGTTAACTCAGTAGGAGGAAGAGGAGGGGAGGGGATGAAACTGTGCCCTTCCCAGTAGGTTCAGGCAAAAGCATTTTGACCACACTCTGATATCCTGGAATATGCTGGATTAGTGTTTTCTGTATCCAACACTGGGACACCTCCACCAGTATCAAGACATATATGTTAAGTCATGTATTGGGTCCTCTCTGCGCAATGACATCAGTTTGGGTGAGTGATAGTTCTGGGGTCCTGTATTGGTCTGCCACCTAGCCTCCTTTGGTTAGAGAGCCGATGGAGTGAATGTAGGCCCTTCTGCTCACTAAGTCTGTGCTCTTCTACTTGTCTATATCACATCCACTTCTAAAAAGAGGTAATTATATAGTTATAGAGCATTCAGTACAAGTGGTTTGTGTTGTATTAGCACCATAGCACAAAGGATGGCAGAATTAAGACAGTTGACCACAAAGACTAAAGAGAAGGCATCTGTCTCTGCAGTATTTTCTGCACATACGTTTAGGCTTTTACAGTTCAAGCTCAGCTTCAAAAGAAGCAAACATCTGGCATTTGGAGCTTGTAGACCTTGAATTTGCTCAGGATCACGTAACAAGTTTTCTGAGACACATTTTCATCACCTTCTGTTCTTATGATAGCTGGTTGAAATTTTAACTAAACTCTGAATTTTATCAGGTCACTGTG